TTTATTATTCCGTATTAAAAACAAACTCAAAAGTATTATATAAATTTATTAGTAAAATATGTGGAAGATACAGAATCTACAGATGATGAAATGGTGAATGATAGTCAAGTAAATTTTTAATTTAGTGATCTTAAGATTTTAAAAGCTATATATCGATATTATTATCGATATAAACTTGTTTTCTTATCTCTCAAAAGCAAACAGATGAAATTGAAGATACTACAGCAATTCAACCACAATCAGATACAAACGGGGTAAGATTTCATAATTAAAATTCAACGAATCTACCAAAACAAAAATTGAATTACAAAGCTAATTTCAAAAAGGCATCACTTCATCACAATCCCGAAGCAAACAATGATATTATGAAGTCAATTAATGATTATGAAGACGGTGAAAAACTCGTAAGGCATTTTGACATATTCTTTAATTCTAATTCATTATCTAAAATACATATTTGTTCAAAATCTAGCAGAATGAATAAAAAAATATACTGGTTACTATTAACTAAATATTTTTTTTGGTTAAAAGATGGTGAGACATGGCAAAAAGCGGAAAAGTCCTTCGAATTGTTTAGAAAAATATAAGAAAAAAGTGCATCTAGATTTACCAAGGGATATTAAAGAGAAAGAACGAATGCGACATTTTTCGTCTGAAACTGAATCTGATGGTAAGAATTGATATATTTTCAACCTGCACATCTACGTAAAATTATAATTCCAAGCAAAATTAGACATAACTCAATACTTTCAAGCAATAGGAAGGCGAGTTTTGTGAGTTTTCGATCGGATCGTTCTCGGGTTCCGGCTCTGCCGGGTAAATTTCTGATGCGATCAAAAAAAACTTTACGCTCATAACCATGGGCGAGTTATGAGATAACAGTCATACACAGGGTAATTCCTGGAATGATCAATAATCACTGCACGGCATATTCTAGCCCCATCGGGTTTGATTGCGGCAAGCGAGTTCCTGTAAGCCATCATTCGGTGGCGAAATAATCCTGCCTCGGCTGTGGTATGACCTCACGTAAACCGGGTTTTTTTTACGCATGTTTGTGCCCAAGATAAAACAAAACGGTCGATTTATTTCGAGATTTCTATCTATATATGGCATTAGTAAGTGAAATATCCTTTCGAGTGGGTCCGGCACCCCACGAGATCAAGTTTTTTCTCGATTTACGGTTACCTGGGTACAGAAAAATTGACTTTTGC